TAACAGGCATATGACTCTGGCCCCCTCTCTGCCTCTGACGCAGAGCCCTCATCAGAGCCTTCCCCAGACTCCAGGATTGGCCCATGTTCCTCCCAAACCTCCTCACTGTCCGAGTCTGCTACCAGCTCCTCTGACAGGCCACAACACCTAGAATGTTGCCAGGCCCGGAAACTTGTTAGTTGTGACCAAACTCCCTCAATGCCAAGAGAAAAAAACAACAACAGAAAATGCTTTCAAGGTCCTTAAAAAGGTGATGTGAAAGCCTCAGTGTCAAAGACCTCACCGTGAGGCTACCCTCAAAGTGTCCCCAAACAGTGGGGCCTAGAATCACAGAGCTGGAAGACCCCTTGGAGGTCATCTAGTCCAACCCCCTGTCCAAGGCAGGAGGCCTTATTCCTCTCTATATGGCAGAGGACGTAAGTGTGATAACTCCCGGTCCTCAGCTCGGTGAATGGCTGCTATTTTAACTTCTCTTTTTAAGAGTCTCATTGATTCGCAGAGTTTAGCTAAGCTTCTTTTCGTCAATTGCTTTTCTCTAACGGTTCTTAGAGTTGGTTGTTAGCCTTTTTATTTATTTATTTTTTGCACCCTGCTCTGAATGTCTTTGGAAAGAAAGGCCACCTAAAAATGAAATGACGGTCTTTTCATCCTTACACGCCAAAATATTTACTTTCAGCCCATCTGGCTAAACTGACAAGTAATTTGACTCATCCGTGAAGCCTTTACTTGTGTAGCTGAGACAAAACACACAAAGTGCATTCAGTGTTAAATGTACCCGGGGAACTGTAAGGCGGTTAAGTAATATTTCTGCATTGCTCCAAAGTCTTCAGTCATGTCTACAAATGTCTCTTTGTCTCCCTTGTTCTTCCTTAGTTTTTCACCTTCCTTCTCGTCATTTTTGCTCTTGAAGTAGCAGCTGCCATCTTGGGATTTTCCAACAAAGAAAAGGTAGGAGAACTTTCAAATATGCGTTCTTCAGAAATTTATACAATACAATACAATAGCAGAGTTGGAAGGGACCTTGGAGGTCTTCTAGTCCAACCCCCTGCCTAGGCAGGAAACCCTATACCGTTTCANCTCCTCCTCCTCCTCTTTCTCCTTCTCTTTCTTCTTCTCCTTCTCCTCCTCCTCCTCCTCCTTCTGCTTCTACTCCTCTTCCTCTTCCTCCTCCTCCCTTCTTTTCCTTCTCCTTCTCTCCTCTCCTTCTCCTCCTCCTTTCCTTGTCCTTTCCTCCTCCTCCTTCTCCTCCTCCTTCTGCTTCTACTTCTCTTCCTCCTCCTCCTCCCTTCTTCCTGTTCCTTCTCCTCCTTCTCTCCTCTCCTTTCTTCTCCTCCCCCTTTCCTTGTCCTTTCCTCCTCGTCTTTTCCTCCTCCCTCTTCTCCTCCCTCCCCTCTCCCTCCTCCTCCTCTTGCCCTTTCCTTGTCCTTTCCTCCTCCTGCTTCTTTCTTCTCTTCCTCCTCCTTTTCCTCCTCCTTCTCCCCCTCCTTCTTCCTCCTTCTCCTCCCTCTTCTTCCTTCTCCTATTGCTCCCTCTTCCTCCTCCTTTTTTTCCTCCATAGTGGTTTACATTCTCATTGCTGCTGGTACCATCATAATGCTGGTTGGCTTCTTGGGATGCTGCGGAGCCATACAGGAGTCTCAGTGTATGCTTGGCTTGGTAAGTCTTCCCACATGCATACACAAACATACTGGGGTGAGAAAGTTGGACCATTTCACTCCTCGAGCCTTCGCATTTTTCCGCCAGTCTAAAAATAGAGCCTAGGAAACATGTTTAATTCATGACGCATGGGCCAGAGAGGCTCCAAACGCAGCGAATGGGGATTTTGTTTGTGCCACAGAATGGGCTCCTATTTGCATAGCATTTCCCTGCGTTTCAGCAGAAAGTTCTTTTGCAAAGAGTTCCATGGGCGCCTCAAATATCCCTGTATTTTGCTACCAAATATAAATGCCAACATGTATATGAGTAAATGCTTTTGAAACTACCTTGTTTTCAAACTGAAAGCAGGCTTAGTTGTGCATCTTAGCTTATGTTTGGAGGTTTAAGATGCAGATAATACATATTGTATTTTTTTGGAGTGTAAGACGCACCGGAGTATAAGATGCACCAAGGTTTTGAAGAGGTAAATTAAAAAAAAAAGTTTTTGCACTCTGCAAATCTCCCCAAAATGGCCCGTTTTTTTGGAAAACGGGCCTGTTTTTTTTTCAAAAAGTCTGATCTTGGCCCAGATGATTTTAGAGAGGGAGGGAGGGAGGGAGGGAGGGAGGGAGAGAGGGAGAGAGAGAGAGAAAGAGAGATCAATTTGGAAGCTCAGATCCAGGTGGAGACTTTGAAAAAGAAAAGTAAGCTTTCCCTGCTTGAGTTTAGTTTAGTTTATTAGTTTTGTATGCCGCCCACTCCCGGAGGACTCCGGGAGGCTTACAATAAAAAGGGAGGGGGGGATAAATAAGACAATACAACAATTAAAAATTACACCAACATTCGTAATTGAAGTGGAGCTGGATGCTTCAACAGGAAAAAAAGACAAAACTTGAGAAAAGATAAACACAAAATCCCGAAGGTGCTTTTTTTCAAGAAGAAACTGGACTTTCTGTTTTTTCTTTGAGGATGCTTCACTTCTCATCCAAGGAGCTTCTTCCGTTCTGACTGGACGGTGGGGGAACGGAAGGATTTAAATTCCTTGCAAGCAGCTGGTCATTTGCATTCTCTTTAGATAGTCGTTGAGGCCACCTGGAGGTTTGTCTTGTGTTCTCAGGGTTACCTGACTAGACCAGAAAAATTGCAGACTACAGGAACTATTTGTGCCGAACTGCAGCTAGAAGTAGCCTGCAATACTGCACTCTTAACCACGGCGCCACCACAGCTCTCAAACCTCCAGGTGGCCTCAACAACCCTCTAAAAGAATGCAAATAACCAGCTGTTGGCAAGGAATATAAATCCTTCCATTCCCCACCATCCAGTAAAATCTGAAGAAGCTTCTTGGATGAGAAGAGAAACGTCTTAAAAGGAACAAACGAACCAGAAAGTCCAGTTGCCTTGTGAAAAAGCACCTTTGGGACAACTTGGATGGCTGAAAATCTCCATAGATAAAGACAAAGGTTTTCCATCTTTTGTTTATCACCAGTGCGACCATTAAGAGGAGTTGCATCAACTCCCTTCCACCCCCAAGCCTCCAAAGCAGGGGTGTCAAACTCAATTACATTGAGGACCGGATCAGGGTTGTCTTTGACCTTTGAGCAGCACAAGGCCGAATCCTCGCCCCGATAAACCCCTTTTATTTCATTGACAGTGAATTCCTCTCCAGCAAAGTCTTTCCTCTCCCACAGTCTTTCAAGATAGTTCACCATTACTGACTTTTATCGGGCTTGGTGAGTAGCCAAGCNAAAAATGCAAGTAGAAAAATAGGAACCACCTTTGGTGGGAAGGTAACAGCATTCCGTGTACCGTCAGACAATTACGGAGATGTCTTCGGACAGTGGTGGTTCTTCGGCTTTGAAACGGAGATGAACACCGCCCTCTAGAGTTGGGAACAACCAGCACATATGTGTGAGGAGAACCTTTACCTTTATGCTCTGGCTGGTGTCAGCTTTGATGGCATTTAGCCGCGATGTTCTTTCCCAGCCTGGTTTCCTTTTACTGCTACGACTTCCCAATAACATTGCTTTCTCCAATAAATTCCTCCGCGCAGCGTGTCCAAAATAAATGAGATTCAGGTAGTTCTCGACTTGCGACCACAATTGAGCCCCGACATTTCTGTGGCTAAGCAAGACACGTGTTAAGTCAATGTTGCTCCATTGAACGAGCTTTCTCGGCACTATTGTTAAGTGAATTCCTGCCATAGTTAAATAAGAACCAGTTGACAAGCATTTCAGTTTTGATCATGTGACCATGGGGTTAATGGTCATAAGTGTGGAAAACGGTGTGATAGGTCACTTTTTTCCGTGCTGTTGTAACTCCGAACAGTCACAAAATGAATTGCTGTAAGTCAACAACTTATAAGACTACCAAATGCATCCGATGAGGGAGGTTTTTCTAATTTAGTGAAATTTAGAGAATGTGCATATAGTTTTTTAGAAGTTCTTTAAATATAGAAATTTATTCCATTTCTATAGCCGCCCATCTCAATCAATGTCTCCGTGCAGCTTACAATTCCCGTCATTATTCTTCTTTTATTATATTTTACGGTTCTGGTGCTAATACTTTTTGTTGCTTTGAGCACCAAGGAGTAGAAAGTTGAGATGCAGAGTTAATGTTCTGAGAAATAAATATTTGCAACCAATGCATGGGAAAAGAAGGCAGCCATGTACAGCAGGGGAAGTGAAATAACAACTCTCGAACTAAAAAATTGTCTTCTCGTTAAATCGTGCGCATTTCCACCTAAAAAGGGATTATGAAAGAACGCAGAAGGAGGCTTTCTCTGGGTTGGAAAGCCACAGAAGAAGCTAGCTTAGACAGCTGGTAATCAGCAGAAGTAGCCTGCAGTACTGCACTCTAACCACTACGCCACAGAACAGAACAGAATAATAGAACAGAACAGAACAGAACAGAACAGAACAGAACAGAACAGAACAGAACNAGAGAGTGGGGGTAGAGAGAGAGAGAGAGAGAAGGGGAGAGGGAGGCAGGGGATGGAGGGAGAGGGGGGAGAAGGAGACGGAGGGAGAGGGGGAGAGGGACAGAGAGGGAGGGAGGGAGGAACGGAGGGAGAGAGAGAAAGAGAGTGGGGGTAGAGAGAGAGAGAGAGAGAAGGGGAGAGGGAGGCAGGGGATGGAGGGAGAGGGGGGAGAAGGAGACGGAGGGAGAGGGGGAGAGGGACAGAGAGGGAGGGAGGGAGGAACGGAGGGAGAGAGAGAAAGAGAGTGGGGGTAGAGAGAGAGAGAGAGAGAGAGAGACCGTAGAGCTCGGCCCAACATTGAACTCAAATGCAATAGATTAAACCCTGAAAAGGATACATTTCTTGATAGAAAAAGTGTTTCCGATAAATGTAATTTGAAGTGTCTTACCTAAAATGAAATGAACTCGGTAAAGGTCAGATCTCTGCAGAAGACTGCGTAGTTTTGTCTGCATTATTGTCAGCTTCCCCTGCCTCTCAGCACCCAGTGACTTCAGATGGAGCACTTCATTGAGGTAAAGCACTGTTAGATGGGTGTGGTACTTTTCTTTCTGTGAAAATAAAAGTAACCAAGCCATCCTCAAAACAGTTTTCATACACCATTTTTATCAATTATTTCAATAAAACTCAAAGTATTAAGACATAATGTCAACAGATTCTATTACTTAGTTGTGTTAAAAGTATAATACAAAAAAAAAGAACAAAGTCACGGTCAAAGTAATTCTGGGAGAACAACATTTTAATTTCTAAAGTTGTCCAAATATATACCTCTGAGATTAAAGGGAAGTTAAAGAAAATTAAGTCAAAATATTTATTTCATATCTGTGCTGCAGTACAAGACACAAGTACAGCATTAGACACAGTAAAAAAGGATGTCTAATTTCACAACTAGTTCCTTTTACACAACTACAGAAACTATCAGAGGAAATAATGTAAAAAGCAATTCGTTGATTTTAATTTATCACATATACCATAAATACAAAAACTTGTACATGTATTTAAAAAATGTGAATTTTATACCATTCCCACCATTCACCTTTACAACATCCAATGTCATTTGGCAGTTCTACTTATAATTTGAATAAACAAGGGGGATGAGAGAGGGTTCAACCCTCAAGTTACCATACAGAGAATAAGAGAATTAGAGAAAGATGTTGAAAATAAAACACAAAATGTAAAGGTACAAGTCAGAAGTGGTATTAGCAGGTTCTGACCAGTTCTGGTAGCGGAAATTTTGATTAGTTCGGAGAACCGGTAAATACCACCGCTGACTGGCTCTGCCCCCATCTATTCTCTGCCTCCCAAGTCCCAGCTGATCGAGAGGAAATGGAGATTTTACAGTATCCTTCCCCTGCCATGCCTACCAAGCCAAGCCCACAGAACCAATAGTAAAAAAAATGAATCCCACCACTGGTATAAGTATAGCTTGGAACACTCAGACAAATACATTAACACAATCCCTTTCAAAGCATTAATATTGTACAGAAGTCATCACCCAAACTTACTTTTATTCTTTTCTCTAGAACTAAGTACTCCAAGTATTTTACTAGTGACACCGGATATTTTTTAAGGCATTTGATGACATCATCTGGGTTAAAGCTGTTTTTCTCTTGATCTTCCAGGGGCCTTTTAGTGAAAATGTACACACCAACCTAAAACAATATAACATTTAGAGATTCCAGTAGTGGATAAGTACACCTGACAGACAATTCACAGACCAGTTTCTGAAACACTTGATTCTTTTCTTGCTTTATTCATATAGAAAGTTTGGGGAAAGGGGGACCTCATTGTGTAGCAATGACAAAAAAAAGGCCCAGAATAAACTTGTGCAATGTTTGCTAGATAGGTTTTTGGGTCACATTTTGTAATACAATTACAACTGAATGTAATGTTTGAAAAAAATCAAAAGAAAATCTAACATATTTGAACTTCCCTCTTTAAAGTGAGGAATACAATTTAGACTTCATAAAAATTTTAGGAAAAATATTGCATTTCCCAGGTATTGAATTCTATGCACCAAAATCAAGGAAAATAAACCCTTGTCTTAAAAGCAAGAGGAACAACAAAAATGAAGGTCCCTTTTAGTGCTACACACTAGTAACAACTACAACTATAATTGCATTTGAATGCTATTTTGACACCTTAAGCACTGTGGTGTTTGCTTGGGGGTTATGACACTGGAATATCAAGGGGGTAGAATTAATTCTAGACAAGGTATCCAAGCAACAGCATTTTAAAAACTTTTCCCCAAAGGATGTGGTCACATACCTCCTCGTTATGCTCTAAGATCCATTCTGCGTACTTCCACACCAATTCATGGTCAGAACAGGAGGTTAGGAAGTCTACGATATAGTCATAAAGATCTGTGCGTGTGGAATCCTGAATCTCCCCGTTGACTATCTGTATCCATAACTAAAATAAAGAAACAGAAGTTTCATTTCAATCTTTAAAAGGACAAATGCTATTTTTTTTAAAAAAAAA